AAGGGACTGGACTCGATGACCTCTTGAGGTCCCTTCCTAGAATCTATGAATCTATGAATCTATGCATGAAGGGTCTTGCTCTACATGGCCAACTAGAGATCTGAGTTCTACCCCCAAGTTCTGTAAGTGACCTGTTGTGATCTTAGGCAATTACCTTACCCCCATTTTAAAGAAGAGGAAAATGCGGCAGAGAGGAGTAAATCATTTTGAGATCTATGGATGAAGAAAGCTACAGAATAGCTGGGCATTATTATTATGGTAGTGAAGTCACAGGATTTAGAGTCAGACACAGATCTCTGGAGACCTGTTCTCCTTGTCTTTTGTGGTATATATTACCTCTCTCAACTCTTCTGAATTGTGTATGCCCCCAATGAATCCACCTCTGACTCCCGTCCTTTTAGCACAAAGAAGAGGATTTCACTAATGAGAAAATCTGAAACATAAGTGTATTGGATCTTAATTTTGCTTTTTGTGGGTGTGCAAGAGAAAAAATAAATAATACAAATATAAAAGCATAGGAAACCTAAATAGAGAAGCATCTTGTGCCAGGAAAAATACTGAAATACTCCAAAGTACTCTGTATATTTTTTGTTGGGGGTAATTGTTTTGTTTGCAGAGCAATACCCCACTTTTCAGTGTGTGAAACCTGTTTCTCCAGTGCACAGAAATGCATGAATGACTGGGCGTAACAATCAGATAAGGTGGCTAATGCTGGACAAGATCACCCAAGAAGATAAAGAAGAAATGGGAATTAATTTTGTCCATGTGTGGCTGGGATTTTAAATTTAAAGTGAATGAGACCCACAATAGGATTTCCCTCAGTTATTTCAATACAAACATGGCACCTATTAAAAACAATTTGCTTATACTGCAATAGCAGGCAGATAGAAAAGATGTATTAGTCATCTAACGCTAATTTTTATAGCGCATCTTTTCCATTGGAAATGCCACAGCCTGTCAAAATTAAATCACAAGATAAATTATGGTAAATGGTAATGGTCACAACTTTTATTAATTAAATATGGTAACATATAATCAGCATAATACATGTGCCCCAACCAGAGCTGAACACACTGATGGCTCTCATAATAATAAAATAATCAGTGATGGACTCTAATCAGAATCATCAATGCAAATACTTACACATTTTGGAAAGGAATGAAAAATCTAGGCCTGAACCCAAACTTGAATTTAAAAATTAGGGTCTCTCTCCATAAGTTTCAACCAGGACCACATATCTGACTTCCCCACCTCTCCAAAATAACTACACTAATTACCTCATCTGGATTACGCCTGGTTGTCTCAGATTTCCACTAGGGTATCCCCAGAAATTCATAGCTGTAGGTACACCGTTTCTGGGTATGCCGTAAAACAAACAATTAGTTACTTATCCTGCAGTGTAAATGGATAGTAGGATCAGATGGAATACAGGCCTTGCAGTGCCTAACTTGCATGGCTCCCCTACTGGTCTCCAGCTGTCACCGGATCTCGTCTCCTGCTTCTGTGTAGGGAAGCACTTTGGGGAGACAGTCTCCACTGCTTCTATGGCAATAAAGAAAATACATTATGGTGATATTCATCATAAGTGGGTTGGGTCTGTGTCTTTATGTCAGTGTTTTAGTGAAGACTGATAACTGTGGAAAATTTGAAATATTTATATACTTCAGTTACAGGGGATCCAAGAAAAAATGAAATTTTAAGAAGAGAGGGATTTTATAGTGTTTAGAAAATAAAAATTGTTGGCAAACCTGGTGAAATAGTTATCTAGAAACTCAAACTGAACCTTTCAGATGGTTAAAAATATGGTAAGATAATGTGAGTTCTACAGAGTTATACACAGTTTTAAGTGTAAAAGTAACAACATAACCTTAACTAAGTAGGTAATAGGGCATCTCCTTTACATGAACATCGTATACACAAAATTATACATCTTGAAAAGGAGCACACTGCGTGTAGAAACCCTATAAGCACCACATTAACAGCATGACTTTGCAATCTGTACACAAGCAGCTAGGTTTTTAGGATTATGCCACTCAAGAACTTTTGTCAATATTAAACATTAAATTAAAGTAGGTGTGCACTGCAGGGCCACCTGCTATTTTCCCATTTAATTAAAATGGAAAAAGCATGGGTACTTTAAACTACATCTCCGTCTTTCTTCAATACTCTGACACCAACAGCATGCTACCCCTATGTAAGAATACAAGAAAATATAAAAGATAGAAGCTACTTAACCTTTCACAGAATGAACATACATCTCTAAACAAATTCGTCTAATGCATGTTGAACATCATGTAATTACATCTTTTAGTGCAGCAAGTCATAGATTTCCCTGTGATAGCTGCTATTATATAATGGGAGGGAGTTGAGAGTACTACTGTGAAAAATTACTAATTTTCCTCTTGA